GTCTGTAAGTGAGAGTGTGTGTGTCTTCAGCACTTACCTTTCTCCAGCGCCGGACTCCCTTGGCGCTGGGTATCCCTCAGCTCCGAATGCGACCGCGCACGCATTCAAACCGCCCATGGGAAAGCATTACTCAATGCTTTCCTATGGACGTTCAGTGTGCTCCTGTAGCGGTTGTCAGTGAGACAGCCACTAGAGGCTGGATTAACCCTCAGTGAAACATAGCAGTTTCTCTGAAACTGCTATGTTTTTCAACTACGAGGTTAAACTAAATACAACACCCAGACAACTTCATTGAGCTGATGTGATCTGGGTGTCTGTAGTGGTCCTTTAAAGGACCACTATAGTGCCAGGAAAACATACTCGTTTTCCTGGCACTATAGTGCCCTGAGGGTGCCCCCACCCTCAGGGACCCCATCCCATCCAGCTCTGGAAAGGGGAAAAGGGGTAGAACTTACCTTTTTCCAGCGCTGGGCGGAGAGCTCTCCTCCTCCTCCGATCCTCCTCTTCTCCTCCCCGTCGGCTGTATGTGCACGCGCGGCAAGAGCTACGCGCGCATTCAGCCGGTCACATAGGAAAGCATTCATAATGCTTTCCTATGGACGCTGGCGTGCTCTCACTGTGAAAATCACAGTGAGAAGCACGCAAGCGCCTCTAGCACTAGAGGAAATAGGGGAAGGCTTAACCCATTTATAAACATCGCAGTTTCTCTGAAACTGCTATGTTTATGAAAATATGGGTTAACCCTAGCTGGACCTGGCACCCAGACCACTTCATTAAGCTGAAGTGGTCGGGGTGCCTAGAGTGGTCCTTTAAGTGTGTGTGCATCTGCATGCACTGGCGTACATACCGCGGTCGCAGGGGTCGCAGCCCTGTAACCCCTGCGACCAGGTGCCCACCGCCATGTGTTGCGGCCCGCGCCCGGGGGGGGCCCACGGATCAATTTTCGCACCGGGGCCCCATGGGTCATGTGTACGCTACTGATTTCAATGCTCTGACACTATCTACACTAACTGTCTGCACCCTCACTAGACCACCAGGGCAAGGTAACAAAGGTAACAAAGAGTGGTAGGGAGAGGGGTGCCAGTTTGCTGAGGCATCTTGGCAGCATCAGAGACAGACTTCTCTGATGCCTGGTGTACTTGGCCATAGGTGGTCAGCTATGGGAACCTAGGGAGTGTGCTCCCTATAATGGATCAGAGTGTTGCTGGACCCCTTGCTCACGGTGCCTAGAGAGAGATATCAGCTATGCCTTACTGATGATTCCTAACAAGGCTGAAATGATCGTCTGGGGTTGCTGTGTCTCTCGTGCAGAAACACAACTTGCTGGCATTTTGGATCTTGACTGCCCATATGGGTGGGACCAGTCTGATATGTTTCAGAGATGTTCTTTCCGTAATGGCACAAGATGAGCTAAAACCAGCTTGAGATCTGAGCGGTGACCCACCGAAAGGTAGGCTACTTTAGCTGCTGCCCGTTCTCAGAATACTCTTGCGGCCCATTTTTTTGCCCTCTGCTAGTTACTATGACAATGCTCTGATTCTAAAACAAGCATCAGTGGGACCATGTGCATGTGGCCTGTTCCCACCAGGGGTGTAGACCAGATACTGAGTCCATGGACCACCAGGGATAAACTTTCCCCCGACTAAACAAGCCCTATCCAACTACTCTTCAGCCACTACCCCACACAGTACTGCTCTTACCCCCAATACTACACCTCCACTCACTTACACTACAGCCACTGTCCCCCTCTACACTACAGCTCCCATACCCACCTACACTACAATGACATCCTCCCATACTACAGTTCCATCCCCATCCACTCCTATGCTACAGCCCCTATCCCATTCTACACTTCAGCCCATATCTCCGCACATCACACCCCCTATATCTCTCTACGCTACAGTTTCCATACCCTCTACACTGCAGCCCATATCTCTCTACAACCCTTATCCACAGAAACATAGACACTTGGAGTATTGTACGCAGTCCTGTAGACCGTATCTTCAGAAGGATATTGATACCTTAGAGAGGGTTCAGAGAAGGGCTACTAAACTGGTTCATGGATTGCAGGATAAAACTTACCAGGAAAGGTTAAAGGATCTTAACATGTATAGCTTGGAGGAAAGACGTGACAGGGGGGATATGATAGAAACATTTAAATATATAAATGGAATCAACACAGTAAAGGACGAGACTATATTTAAAAGAAGAAAAACTACCACAACAAGAGGACATAGTCTTAAATTAGAAGGGCAAAGGTTTAAAAATAATATCAGGAAGTATTCCTTTACTGAGAGGGTAGTGGGTGCATGGAATAGGCTTCCAGCTGAAGTGGTAGAGGTTAATACAGTAAAAGAGGTTTAAGGATGCGTGGGATATGCATAAGGCTATCTTAACTATAAGATAAGGCCAGGGACTAATGAAAGTATTTTATAATTTGGGCAGACTAGATGGGCCGAATGGTTCTTTTTTGCCATCACATTCTATGTTTCTATGTTTCTATGCCTACACCACATTCTTTCTTCTCCTGCAGAAGACCCTGGATGTCTTCATAGAGCCACATAACAAACTATATAGTGCCCCTCCCATTCACCGACAGCGCTCAGCTGATCAGCTAATGCTCTCAGTCAATGAGCACAGATCTGCTCTGCTCACTGGAACTTCCTGGAATCTGCTGCAAGGAGAGGAGGGTTCTGTAAAGTTATTTATGTTGATTAATTATTATTAATCAATTTTCATTAATTAAAAATAATATTTTTATAAAAAATATTAAAATTAATACTTTTTATTCAAATATCAGGGGTTGATATTTTATTGGCGTGGATTCCTAACTATTAATTTAAAAGCAAAGAGTTCCCACTAATTATCTCTTAGATCTAGAGCACGTTGTTCGAATTTAATATTTCATACATTAATATAACAACTTTTTATAAAAATTATAATATTTATTTTTGTCTATAAGTGTAATTATACATGGTAATTAGTGAATAGTTTTTCAATAATATTGAACAAGATATAGCATAAATCAGTGTTACAATCTCAGTAACAATTTTAAGCTTGTTAGTTCATGACAACTTCAATCAACCGGGTTAGTATATGGAATATGTTCTTCATACACTATTTATTGAGACAATCAACAAATAGAATGTTACCGTGGCAAACCTAGCCACTTGGACAATATAAAGAGACTGTACCTTTAAGCGTTGCCTGTATGTCGGTGGGGATATGTGTTTCACTATGTATAATGTATGCTGGCTGTGATCCCTTGTATTTCCTGTATTGGCTATCTGCCGAATGCAGATAGCTATTTGTATTGGGTTTTTCTTTCGTTTCACGAACGGCACTTTTGCGGGCCGTTCGGGAACCGAAAACACTCCATATAGTAGCCCACACACTTAGAGGCGTGTGGCGCTTGTTAACCGATTGCAACAATGTTGCAATCGGTAATTAGAGGCTCTCCTAGGTGGCCGCCGTTCGACTACCGACTATGCGGCGGTTGGCCATCTTGGATCCTTTGTTCCCTCAGCGGTGTTAGGTCGTCGAGCGCATGGTACTAAAAACGGCTACTCGACGGCGCGAACACCGCTGAGCCTCCAGGCCGTTCTGGAGTTCCGGGACGTTCGGTATTTCATTCCCTGGAAGGCAATTTTAATATGTCTTTTAATAAATGTGTTTTTCGTGCGGCGTTCGGTTGTTTTTAGCTGGGATCTGAGCGGTAATCTCACGAATGATGCGCTCAGACCCCAGCTATCTACCGAACGTCCATTCGTTTAAATAGACCATTTTTTTTTACTTCTTAGTACAATTTACAAACACATGTGGATCGTTTATTATTGTAAACACCATTCAGTAGACTTAGCTGGACAAAGTTTGTTCACTTAGGTGATCAATACACAAAGTTTTACGACAATATTTTACCAGCTAGCACAGAAATCAACACAGAAATCTAACCAGCTAAGTGCTCTTTCAGAGTAATCAATTATGATTAATTAATTCATCCAGTAACTACATTTTTGCTGGTTTAGTTATAACAGTTCTTATCTGGTAAATATTCCCTAGATTGTTATAGGATTAATATTCCCCTGGGTAACTGTTGATATTTAGAGTTGAGCGGACACCTGGATGTTCGGGTCCGGCAGGTTCGGCCTAACTTTGAAAAAAAGTCCGGGTACGGGATCAAACTTGACCCCGAACTTGACCCAGAACCCCATTGAAGTCAATGGGGACCCGAACTTTTGGCCACAAAAATGCCCTTAAACAAGTCCTGGAAAGGGCTAGAGGGCTGCAAAAGGAAGTAAAATGGGGGTAAGAGTAGGACAAGTGCCTTGCAAACAAATGTGGATAGGGAAATCACTTAAAATAACATATAATACCTAAAAATTAAAAATACAGCTGAGCCATAAAATAGCACTAGATGGAATCTTTGATTTTTCTTTGGAAGAACCTAAATCAAAATCTAAAGCATGGCTGTCAAGAGGATCACCAGAATAATTCATTTGAGAGAGGGTTGGAGTGCAGGGTATTCTCTTTCATTGTATAAACTGAGCTCAACTCCTGATGCATGGAGAAAAGGCCTTCACAAGCCTCTGCTATTGTGTACATAGTTTATACTAAGAGACCCATAGGTTGAGGAGGTGGTGATCGTGGCGGTGTAGATGGAAGCGGCGGTGGAGGAGGAGGAGGTAGCCAACACTGTTTTATATATATATATATTTTTTAAATGGGTAGCCCCCAAAATATTGGGACATATAAAAAACAAAAACTGTTCCGCAGAGCGACTGACCCGTGTGCGCTGCATCTGAAACTCCATTATCGCCTGCTGCTGCAGCGCAGACAGGCGAGCAGCAGCAGGGTGAGAATGCAGAAAGCGCGCACAGACGGCCCGCACTTCCTGCAGCAGCTCTGATATATCTGGGTATACACCGTGGCATCACAAGGGCCACCCAGAACTGGCTCAACTCCCATCAAGCCAAGTTCCCAGAGGAGATCACCCAGCTCGTCATGCTAGAGCACTTTTTTAATGTGCTCCCCAACGACAAGGCGACGACGCATTCATACATCAATGTATATCAACTTTCAATGCCATTTACTGCGCCTACCATGGTGACCACGGGTAACAGGGAATCAGGGTTCGATTCCGTACAAGGACCATGACAAACGGCTACCACATGCAAGAATGGCAGCAGGCATGCAAATGACCCACTCCCGACGCGGGGAGGTAGTGACGACAAATAACAATACAGGACTCTTTAGAGGCCCTGTAATTGTAATGAGTCCATTTGAAATCCTTTAACTATGATCAATTGGAGGGCAAGTCTGGTGCAGAGTGACTGACCCGTGCGTGCTGCAGCTGAAACTCCACTATCGCCTGCTGTTGCTTGCACAGTCTCATGAGGTGGTGAGCGGGAAGGCCGAAGTTATGCTGCAGCGCAGACAGGCAAGCAGCAGCAGGATGAGAACGCTGAAAGCGCGCACAGCTGCTACAGTGAATGTCACATCCTGTTCCAAGTTGCGGATCAGTCTGGTGATGGCTTCTGGTATCCAGTACTCTTTTTACTGAAGCTGCATCAGGGTCCTGGTATGTGGCCGCACAAATGCTGGTGCTCAACACCGGGGGCGTGCGGTTACCCTGCACCAGACCCTGCTAAGCCATTCCACACTGTGACTCCTAACTTCAACATCAGTCATACTGGGTCCCGGTCGTCCGACCGCCACCCAGACAGTGTCTGGGTCCCGGTCACCGGAATGCGAAACTGCGAATGTCTCGTTAAATCTGTTATGGTTCCTTTTATTGCTCCATCTGTTACTTGGATAACCCTCTTTTTCTTAGGTGTCTTTTTCTTATATCCTCTGTGTGTGTATATTATGGGGTTATATGTCATTCCTTATTTGTTAACCTTCTGACCTGGTCCAATGACATTTTGGGGCAGATCATTGTGTTAATGGCTGGTGACGTCATTTTGATATATATTTCTATAGGTCTCAAACAGTATGTGGAGCTGTTGGCTTACGTCAGGAGTATTACCAGCTATTAGCATATAGGGTTAAACTTTGTTCAGGACAATTTAGGAATGTTTAATTTCAATATATTTTTAGTCAGCAACTCTTCTTTCTGTGTAGACTTTGGTTGTTCAACCAATATATCCTTTTTCACCTAAGTGTTATGACAATTGCAAGATATTTAAGCTGTCTAACTTAATTTATCTCTTTGCTAATTACATTTTTATATGTATATAGTTTCTATAGATGTACAGATTGCTAACTTAGGATGTATCACACTATATTTCTATTTTTATATATAATTAAACTTAATTTATTTACATCATAGCGATATATGTGTGTGTGTGCTGAACACGTACTTTTAATCAACACATACTTGTCTTATTTGTGGTGTTTTTTTTTAGCTCTTTTAGCTGACAGGGTCATACTTTGAGAAAAACATCTTGTTTCTTCATTTTAGCACCTCATGGCATATCACCTAAATTGCGTTTTTGCTATTATTATTATTATGATATTTATAGAGCGCCGTCAAATTCCGCAGCGCTTTACAATTGGTATATTATGCATGTATTCATTTTTATCACACAATATATACATATTTCCTTCCTACACAATATCTCTGACATAAAGCCCTTTGTAAGAGTAGCATAGCAATGCTTAGTTAAGATCATGTATATTCGAACATGGATTTACAAGAGATGTCGTGTACTCATAACGTATTTTCTGGTTGTGGATTTTGTCTTACATAGCGAACAGTATGATACAGTGAAGTACTTGTGACAGATTTAAATCTTACACTTAATACAACCAACCATATTATCATAATCGACTGCAGAGAAGAGAGTGCAAAAAATATAGTATCAATTAAGGTATACAATGTCATTAAATATATAATCTAAAACTGTATAACTCATATGCAGAATGTTGTAATAAATAAAAATACCTTTATAATATATATAATATATATATTTTTACCAGCCACCAAGACACAAACAGAACTTCCCAAATTCTCAAAATAAAAATGCAATATATACAGTGTCAGCGCTTAGTGGATGTGTCCCTATGAGATGACCTTACAGGCTGACATGGCAGCCCTTAGCACTGACCTGACTGGCATTGTGGGTCACCTGGGATCTGCGATAGCGACACTAGAAGGGCATACCCTGAAAATAGTCTCCCTCGAAAGTGATGGCAGTCAGATTTATCCTTGGCTCAAGCAGGTATTTCCCTACATTGAAAGATTATATCCTTGATCTACTTCTGTTCCCTTTCATATAAAGAAACAGTTGTCGATGAAACGTCTGTAGAGGACCAGGTTCGCATGGCCCTGCCAAACATATAGATTTTCCCAATAGGCCATGAATATATTGGCGTAGCTGGGGGTGAACCTGTTCCCCATAGCTGTACCGTTGACCTGCAGTAATAAGGAACTCCACCTGTTCAACTAGCATAGAAGAATCCTCATATAACGTCTGTTTAACTGCTTTCATCCCCAAATCATGTTTGATAACCATGTACAGGGATGTAACATCACATGTTTCCATCAGATAATCATCTTCCCATTTTAGTCCTTCTACATTTTTCAGGAGGTCTCCGCTGTCATTTAGGTAGGACTTAGCCACCTTCACAAAGGGTTGTAATATGACATCTATTACTGTGACAAATTGCACGTAAGTGACCCTATCCCGGAAATAATGGTTCTGCCTGGGGGTTGTGTGAGAATTTTATGTATTTTATGTAATTGACAGAATACAGTTTTTTTAGGGTATGTAATTGTGATGAAATCTAGTTCCTTTTTATTTAGTATTCCTAGGAATTAGTGTTACACTATGTTGTTGTTTCCTTAATTTAAGGTGTACACAGAATACTTTGTGGTTTGATACGAAGAGGACAGTTTAAATATTTGCACCCTCACCACTGGTGATTTTAAATTGATACCCAATTTGGAACTCAGGATTATACATTGCATAGCCTACATATTGAGCTGTGATCAGAGAGTTATACATAGAATAGCCTACAGATTGAGCAGTTATCAGAGAAGTTATAGATTGCCTGACAATTCCAGTTTTAGCTTGGTAATAATCATACAAATTGCCTTTTCTGTATTTGTGTTATCTATGTGGTTTTAACCTCTGCTATTTTTTTATTGCAATGCAGTGTTGAAGGACAGTACTCCTACGTGATCAAGTTTACTAAAGCTGAATGCACAAACATGAATGATGAAACTATAAGAAACGTTCTGGAACATGATAGAGTGGCTGATGTTAGAAGTAAACTCCATGAAAAGGAGATATTTCAAGGAGATCGAATGGTGATGGCAACATTTTTGGAGAAGAAAGTAGACAAAAAA